TTACGTATGTAACCATGGTTCCTCGAGGGAACGAGACGCTGCGTCTCGGTGCCATACTTCCGGCATCCCTGCCAGCGCTTGCTTCATTCCTGAAGCAAGACCTTCAAAACCTGCTTTTATAGCTTCCTGGTCATGACGTCACCCGCCCGTGACGTCTCGCCCCGCTATTGGACTGATTTCACATGTGATTCAGAGCGTGGTCACAGAAGGCGTTCCCGAAGCGTTTTCCGAAGCAGCGTCTCGTTCCCTCGAGGAACCATGGTAACATACGTAACCTGAGACGTTTTCATGTGTCTTCACTGAGGAGTGGATTGAGTCTTGCCACACCGCCATAAAGCCCAGAACAGTGGAGTGTTGCAGTGATGTTTGTCCTTCTGTAGGTTTCTTCCATCTGCATATGATCATGGAGGTCAACTAGTGACCATCAGGTTCTTGGTCACCAGTCTTGACTAGTCCTTCTCCATCATTTGCTCAGTTTGGCTGGGTGACAGCTCTAGGAAGAGTCCTGGTTGTTTCAAACTTCTTCCATTAAGAGTAAAAGAGACTACATGCTTCTGTGAACCTTCAATGCTGCAGAAACTTTTCTGTACCCTTCCCCAGATCTGTGCCCCGATACAATCCTGTCTCGGAGGTCTACAGACAATTCCTTGGACTTCATGGCTTGGCTTGTGCTCTGACATGCACTGTTAACTGTGGGACCTTATATAGACAGGTGTGTGCCTTTCCAAATCATGTCCAATCAACTGAATTTACCACAGGTGGACTCCAGTCAAGGTGTAGAAGCATCTCAAGGATGATCAGTGGAAACAGGATGCACCTGAGCTCAATTTTGAGTGTCTTTGAATACTTATGTACATGTGATTTTCGTTTTTTTTTTTTTTTTATAAATTTGCAAAGATTTCAAAGATAGATAGATAGATAGATAGATACATAGATAGATAGATAGATAGATCAGCAGAATGTGTTCTGAAGGATTGTGTGACACTAAAGATTGGAGTAAAGCTGAAAAATCAGCTTTGCCATCACAGGAATAAATTACATTTTAAGTATATTAAAATGGAAAACAGTTATTTTAATTTTTTTTACTGCATGTGTAATTAAATAAATGCAGCTTTGGTAAGCATAAAATACTTCTTTCAAAACATTAAAAATATGTTTTTTATATGTTTAATATAAATGTTTATAAATGATACTTAACCTAGAATAATATGCTGTAATATATGCACATTATTAGTTAATAATATCCAACACATTACATAATGTCAATGAATTCATGAAAACTTCATTGAAGTGTTACCATTTTTTGTGGTAAAAAATTTAAATGTGTTGAATGACACATGTTAAACAAATAAATGCAGACTTGGCGAACATAAAAGACTTTTTCCAAAGAAGAACTCTTGAACGGTAGTGTAACTAAGGCTACTGAAGATAGTAATAGGTACTGGGTTATACAAGACAGCATGGGTTATACACACAAAAAAAAAAAAATGGTGATGATAAATCACGAGTGTGATTTATTTAGATGAATATGTATTTGATGATTTTTCCTCTATTATGTTGCATTATCTCTGTGTTCATTGTAAGAAAGCCATTATGTTGTATATACTATGAATGGCTGTGTCTACAGCCTCAGGAAGTCCCAGCTGGGTGTCTCACAGATGTGTTAGTCGTGACATCACTGTGGAATTTCCGCTAACATGCCGCTATCTGTGTGATCTGTTTGTGTGTGCGATAAACAACAGACATTGTGAACTTCACCTTACGGTACCCTCTGCTACCCATACAACATCGGTTTAATGAGACACTAACACTCTTTTGCCTTCACACACACACACACACACACTGTTCAGTCGAAGACATTTTGTCATTAAACTTTATGTTTTTCTACAATTTATTTTATATTAAGGACACTTAAACTATTGTATGGAAGTTTATTCAAATACAAAATTGGCAGTTTCAAAACAGAAAACAAAAATAATATTTTTAACAACAGAAACAATAGAAAAAAGGCACATATTTTTTGTCCTTCTTAACACCAGACTGTAACACACACAAGAACCACATACTGAAATGTTTAGTCTGACTGCCCAACACTGACATCTAATGGACCTTCCCAACAAATCTCAGACACTTTTGTTCATTAAGAAAAATGTTCATTCAACACACTATACACTTTAAACTGGCCATAATGTCAATAATCGCTAATTCAAAGCATACATACCTACAGGAAATATGATAACAATAATGAACAATCACATAGGCTATCAACTGAAGGCCATTTTAGTTACGGTTCCAGTTTCTCTTCAACTTTCTGTACATTGTTTTACTTGAGAAACATGATGGATCATTTCCATCATGAGAAGATGTGCAGTCTATCTGATTTTCATTTACTGTAATAGTCTTTGCCCAGTAGTTACATACTCTAGTGATTGAACATCTAATTCTACAAGCAGAATAACACATAAGAATTATAAGACATTTCTCTAAAATAATAATAATAAAAAAAGATGAAAACTGACTAATTAAATTGTATGGTGAAAAAAAAAGAAACATTCAAGAGCAGCACCGTTTGTCTTGAAGGACAATGCCTTTGTGACCAAGACAGCTTGATTTATATTGTTCTTTAACATTTTCCTGCTCTCCTAAGTTTTCTTTCTTTATCCCTCCAAGATGAGAAAACAGGAAAACGGTTTCAATCTGTTCCTTCACTTAAAAGATAAGGGAACAGGAAGTGCGTTTCCTTGTGCTCACACAGACAGGAAGTTGACATTTCAGTGACGGAGATGCTCATGTTAAACGAGACGGGAGAAGAGTGCTTGCCGTGTAATTCCCTACAGGAAAGGGAGAAGGTGGCTTCCACATATTGTGCCCATGGTTAATGGGGGAAACAGGGTAGAGTTTGTGCACAAAGGTAAATATTTAAGGTATAAAGATGGTTTACAAATTTTTCAATGAAAGGAGATCCTCTTGTCTATTTAGTCTTGAATGAAAGACAAACAATATTGTCAAGACACTGGCTGGCCTGCTACATATTTTGGTTTTAACTATCATCAAAATATTTAACAAGTTAAATGGCGCTGTTAAATATATAGCCACACTTATGATTCACTTGGTAATACAGTTATTCAGACCGCTTTTCACATTTCAACAGGCATACAACTCACTGCATGTTTCCTGAGACGTCTGCAATTGCCTTATAATGGTGGACCTTTGAGATTTGGGCTTTACTCATAACAATCGATGTGCTGATGATTCCTGTCAAATAAACTTGGAGTAGCCTTTAATTCTTTCAAAGTACAGTTATCACAACTTCCTTTGTTGCTCCCATGGCAATACAGTAGTTTTCCTGATGAGAAGAGTCTGCTGAACAATGCTGGCTCTGCAATTACACTGACTATGAGTCTAGAAAAAAATCATAAACTGGCAAACTGAGGATTTTTATAGGAAAACAAGATGTGAAAAACAATGTAAAAATATTAAGAACAACACAGTCTCATTGCTACTTTTAACTTTTAAGTTTGGTTGCAAATTCATATTATTTGTATAATCTCAGTTTTATGTTACCGGTTAGATTCAGGGGTGGGTAACATTTTCGTATGAATCTAATGGTACAAATTCATAAGGATTTACCACAGAGTAATAATATGTATAATAAGTATGTTTTCTCATGAGACTGGGTTGAGTAATACAATATACACAAAAAGAAAAAAAAATCCTTCACAAAGATATTTTGTGTAAAAAAATGAAAGCAGATTTGCTGTAAGGATAAACCAGAGAGTTTGTCCAACCAGTGTCTAATGCTGTTTTATACAATCGTATGAATCTAATGGTACAAATTCATAAGGATTTACCACAGAGTTGCCAAAACGTAAAATAAGTATGTTTTCTCATGAGACTGGGTTGAGTAATACAATATACACAAAAAGAAAAAAAAATCCTTCACAAAGATATTTTGTGTAAAAAAATGAAAGCAGATTTGCTGTAAGGACAAACCAGAGAGTTTGTCCAACCAGTGTCTAATGCTGTTTTATACAAAACCCACCTGGACAAAACCAGTCTGAAAAAACCAAGGCAAGTTTTTCTACTAACATACACTTATTCTATGAAAATTACAAATACAGTAGTGCTCATCATAATGTCATAACAATGCATGAAGGAAACAAGTATTGGCACTTGTTAATCCCTTTCTTAAAGGGACCCTTACAAAAAGTCCCATGAAGAGAAGACAGCAGTCTCCATCGTGCTGATGTGTCCTCCTAGGACGATGACTACCTGATAACCCAGGCCTTCAGTAGGATCAGTCGGAGCTATCAGAGTCCGAGCCGTCTACTCCATAGAGCTGAGCCAGGGTCCTGAAACGAGGTCCCCACTCATGCAAAAAGTCATAGTCCAGATTGGACCCACTGGAAGATGAGTCCAAAGAGCTGAGGGAACCGGCCAGGGATTCAGATCCCTCGTAGCCGTAGATGTGTAAAGTATCGTAGGGAATCCCATCACGGTCATGGTCGGCCTCATCCTTCTTCACCTCGATCATCATGGCCATGTCACCCTTACAAGCAGAGGGTTTCTTCACCACGGCATACAGCGAAGGTCCCGTGCCGGGCCGAAAGCTGCTGTCGTGACAAGCAGAGGACAGGATGGAGACGTCATAACCGTTTGTGTCCATTTCTCCACCGCCTTCCTCGTCATAACTCACAAGCTGCTCGTGGATCTCGCCAGAAGACTTGGTAACCAAAATTTCCTTCTGATAGCGCCTCCGCAACACAATGAGGATGACGATGACTAAGAAGATGAAAGAAATAGACACAATATCAACATTTTTTCTTTCTTTCTTTCTTTCTTTCTTTAACATCTTCCTGGTTTATTTATGTAATGTAAACTCATTATAAATTTTGATTGACAACACAAGTTTCAAACACCGTTCGTTCGTCTAGAAATAAACAAATGAACGAAATAAAACAAGTGGAAAATAAAGAAAGGTGGTGTTGAAAAGGAAGTCTCTTATTATCACAGGGGTCTGTGAACTTCAGAATACTTCAACACTTTTCGCCTGTCTGATGGTGTGACTGCAGATCAGTGGCTTGTCTTAATTGTCATCACTCTTGCCTTGTTTCTCACATCTAGAAATGCAAGCACAAACCTCTACTTTGGAAAAGGTGTAGAGACGCAAGCAAAATGTCATCTCACACTTTCAGGAAAAAAAGGTAGCCTGTCACTAAGGTGATACCTTTTTAAATTTTACTAACAAGTACTTATAATAATAATATACCTTAAGGTACTAATATGTGCCCTAAAGTGGTAAATAAGACAAAAATATGTACTGGGTACTGCCCCAGTGACAGATTTTGGATCTTTTTTCCTCATTATATATAGTACACTAACTAACAATGACAATGAAAATATGGAGCTAAGCGACTCTCTTACATGCTCTTATTTACAGTGTTCAGTACCTGGGTTATTTATACAACCAGACCACTTAAAGGATCCTAGGATGGTGAATAAAATATACAGAGTCTCCACTTGGGAAATTACTGAGAAAAGCCTTTCCTCAAAGAAAGGATTTAAAATGTTCACATGTATCATTAATATAACACGCTCCTGTCAGGTCATGAAACCTGCATAATCTGTTTTGCTGGGTTTGATTAAATGAGGCGTTTGCTTTTTAAAAATTTCTTTTTTTTTATTTCTTAAAAAAAGGAAAACACTGAGGGCTGAGTCGTTGACCATGCATGGATATCTTTGTAATAGAAAGAAGAAAAACAAGTGAGATAAGAGATGCGTGTAAATGTACCCAGGATGGTGACGATGCAGAGAAGAATGGCTAAGAGGGCGCTGACGCTCATTCCGGTCCGGGTGTAGGCCATACAGTACTCCACCCGTCTACCTGTCTGACACGTGCACACTTTAATCTGGAGGAGGTTAATGCTCTTCTGTTCTGGTGTCCCTCCATCAGTGATTTCGATTTCCAGCACATGTTCCACCGAGTGCTCTGTACTGAAACCGCCTTGCTTCAGCTCAATGCGCGCAGTGTTATCTACAACAAATGTTAATAATTGAAGAGATGCAGTCATTAATTTCGCTCTTATTCAGGGGAAATGACTAACTGTGTATGCCACAGGTGCAAGCTAACAATTTTCATCAGGAGTGCTATTGTTGTCATTGGACTCTGTTTTTGTTTTCTGTTGATGCTTGGAGGGAAATGTTGCTGAGGTTCTTGTGACAATTCAATGCAACCAGGCCTAAGAATATCCCATTTCACACAATAGTAGGAAGAGTAAATCTTCACTTTGACATTCGTGTGGCCTAAATTGACAATTTTCATCAGCAGTGCTATTGTTGTCATTGGACTCTGCTTTTGTTTTCTGTTGATGCTTGGAGGGAAATGTTGCTGAGGTTCTTGTGACAATTCAGTGCAACCAGGCCTAAGAATATCCCATTTCACACAATAGTAGGAAGAGTAAATCTTCACTTTGACATTCGTGTGGCCTAAATTGAAATGTTCATCTAGCACATTTTGAGGAAAGTCAGTTGCAATTGTAAAAAGCAACATTCTGTTGTCACTTGAATACATGGCTAGAAATAAAATAAATGTAATAATTTTATAGATTACATTTATGAATTAAAACATGTTTGGGATTTTTTTTGTGTGTTTTTGAAAGTGCTCACTAAGGCTGCATTTATATATCAAAAATACAATAAAAACAGTAACATTGTGAAATTACTATTAGAATTACAACTAAAATAACGGTTTTCCATTTTAATAGATATTAAAATGTAAGTTATTCCTGTGATGGCAAAGCTGGATTTTCAGTCTTCTGTGTCACATGATCCCTCTGAAATCTTTTTAATAAGCTTATATGTCATTTTATTAAAAAGAGAGAGAAAAAAAAGCCCAAGACATTTCTTTTCATTCCAGTCAGTGCACCTTAACAAACTACTTTGCTTTCCTGTTTCTGCCAGTTAGTAAACCAGTTAGTAAAATAGTAAACCATCATATTAGTTCATTATACAGCTGTGAGGAAAGAAACCACAGTGTTCTGAAAATCTAAGGATAAAGCAGTCTTAATATCATTCATAAAAAAATTGCATACCTGCGCTGAAACTAGATCTTTTAAATTCAACTTTACAAACATTATCCTAATGGTAGAGTGGCTGATTAAAGTTGATTAGAACCACTCTGTTGACCAAATGTAGTCAACATGAATTAACTCACCTCCGTTATCATAAAGGGAAAAGTTCAAGTTCCTTTTTGCCAGAGTGAAACGGAACCTGCCTGCATTTTCATCTTTGTCATAGGCACCAACAGTCCCAATGATCTGCAAGAGGGTGATAAATGAAGGATTATGGAAATATATAGCTAAAGGAAAATCATTATAAATGTGTTCATGTGAAATGTATTCAAGCGACTCCTTACTGTTCCAGGTTTATCACTCTCACAAACATACACGTAGCTCCGGTTAGTTAGTTCTGGTGCGTTGTCATTAATGTCAAGAACCTTCAGATTAACCAGCGCATAGGACTTTAGACCTGAGGATTCAAAGATAAACCCCCCCCCACAAATTTACTAATGATCTTGATCATAATAATGATGATAATAATGATGATCATACTAATGACGATGATGCTTATTATATTTAATTTTGTCAAACCTACTACTACTAAAAAAGATTTGTCTGTGAATATTGCTGTTACTTGGCTGGGGTTATTTGGTAAATATGTAAAGACGTTTTTACTACAAACTTTTGCTACAATATTAATTTCTAATTAAATCAAAGTACTCTTGCAAATAGACATAATTAGCACAGCAAAACAAAACAGTTCCCAAAAGTCACATTCTGTTGGATTTGTTGAACCAAATCTTTGATTAACAGATAATTTATCCAGAGCTAATTCAGTGAGCTTGTGATCCCTCCAGAATATAAATAAGACTGAAATCACAAAATCACAAAATCACATATTTTGGAAACACATATAATAAAGGTTTAGACACACTTAGCAGAATTAATGATCCCTATGGTGGTAAATACATTTTTATTTAAAAGCTTATGTTAAAATTCGTAATTTTTTTATTACAAATATAAATTAATAGTGCTTAATATGAATATAAAACACTGCTTATTCCCTGAAAAATAATTCACATTCACATAGTTCACATATTTGTTTTATCTCACAGTTTTTATTTTTGTAAAATGTGGAAAAAATGAAGGTGTGTCCAAACTTTTGACTGGTAGTGTAAATGGTTAAGCTGTGAAAGCTTGTTTATATCTTACCATTTGTGACATCCTCCTGTGCTGTAATCTGGAAAGTGTAGGAGGATTTGTCCTCTCTGTCCAGTTGCTTCTTTAAGGACAGATATCCTTGTACAGGATCCACAGCTACAGGACAGTTAGAGTCTTCAATAGAGTACCTAGAGTGATCAAATGTCAACATTAGATGAAACCATTTTGATCTGTTTACACTTTAACCTTTATAACAGTACAGCAAAACACAGAAGGCATTATTTTTTTGATGAATAAAAATACATCTCCATACATACCGTATTTTGTAACCGTTTTTATCTGGATCCTTTGCTGAAACAGCTCCAATGATTGGATTCTTGAACGGGCCCTCGTACATGCTGAACTTGTATTCAGTTTGGTTGAAAACAGGTGGTTCGTCAACATCAATTACATTGATGAAAACTTGGGCTCTCGTCTGCAGGTTGGGTCCTTGGTTATCTGGTGATTTAGACACTGTGCGCTCTAACACGTTTACACTAAACTTGTGCATCTTCTGCGTTTCATAGTCGAGAGGCTGTGAGTGATTAGGGGAAAAAAAATTAGCAAAACAATAATTCTAAAGCTAAGAGAAAAAATGTCAACTTTAATTGAAATCATTAAAAGCATTGCTCAGTCTTAAAAATTCAAGTTGTCTTGAAGCTTGTTTAGTTGTGAAATGCTTACCACTTTGAGGCTAAGAATTCCATCTTTCACATTACTTAGTTTAATGCCAAACACTTCATCAAATTTATGTTGTATAGTAAAAGATGGATCTTTGTTTTGTATCTCGTCTTTGTCCTCCACTTCTAATTCGCCAATTTCATATCCAGGTTTGCTGTCTTCTTTTACATTAAATTGGTATTCTCCTAAGGAGAAAAATACTTTCTGTTGACACTGATTTGAAAAATAGTCTAGCATGCAGTGTGACTTTGCAAAATTTAGTTACAGCTTTTACAGTTAACTTTTTTACCTGTTTTGAAGGTGGCAATGTTGTCATTTACATCATTAATGTTGATAGTCACAATAGTTGTAGCAGAATTCCCAGTATTACTAACGTCTGGCATGTCTTTGGCTTGTACAGCAATTAGATACTGACTCCGTTTCTCTCGGTCAAGACTGCTTGTCAATGTTCTGATTTCACCTAAAGACAAAACAAACGAAGACATTCATAAAGTTACACAATATTTCCATTTCAAATAAATGCTGCTGAACATTCTTGCTTTTGAGTTTTCTATTAATCAAAGAATACTGGAAAACTGTATCATGGTTTCCACTAAAATATTAAGCAGCACAATTGTTTTCAACGCTGGTAATAATAAGAAAAGAAATTCTTGAGCATCAAATCAGGATATTAAAATGATTGCTGAAGGATCATGTGACACTGAAGACTAAAGTATGGCTGCTGAAAATTCAGCTAAAACAGAAAAAAGTTACTTTAAATTGTAAGAATATTTGCTTATTTATTGGGATGGATGGATATATGGATAGATAGATAGATAGATGGATAACTTTTATGACCCCAAAAGTTTCTAATTGCAAACCTTTATTGTTGATGGCGAAGAGATCTGTCCCATTCAGAAGTTTGTACCCAATCATTCCATTTTGAGTGGTGGGATCATCAGCATCAGTTGCTTTTACTGTCATTACTATAGATCCTAGAAAGATAATGTGTCCAAATATTTAAGATTAAAATTAAATAATGTTTTGCTGGCTGTTTTACAGTACTGCAACAAAATCCACATTTCATAAATCCATCAAGGTGTACTATATAATAGTTCTTCAGTCCTACTTGTAAAGCTGTCCACACATGGACATCATGGCCACCCCGTTACCTGCTTTAGAAGATTCACTGATGGATCCAGAGATGTCAGGTGGAAACACAGGGCTATTGTCATTAATATCCATGACCACTATTATAAATGTATCATCGTTGTCAATCTGTTTTTTGGTTGCAATGTGGATGAGTGAAGCTGACAGATTGTAGACACTTTTCTTCTCCCGGTCCAACTTTGCATTAACAATGATATCCCCATTGTCATTTACAGTAAAAATGTCATTAGCACCTTCTCCTGAGAGAATATATCTTGCAGATGGATTGAAAAATGTATTCTCTAGCTAAAAAGAGAAAGGAATGAGGGGAAAAAGTTGAGAAATAAAAGCAAGCATTACAACAAACATTACAATAATCCAAAGATTTTGTTCATTATATCTAAATGTACATAGTAATTCCTCATATGACTCTACTTGAAGTACTTGAGTTTACTTTAAGCAGTATATTCAAAGTAGCACTATATAAATACTTTCATCAAATTTGTCATTGTTTAGACCCTTTACCTTTCCAATTTTTTCAGGTGGGTTTTTTGGAGGCATTTCCTCATTCACATAAAGTTTATCCCATTTCCAGGCTCTCTTATGTCTTTGAAGCACTCTGCTCGGCATGGATGGCGTTTTCAGAGCTTGGTGGACATCAGCTCCCATGCTGAGGGTACATAAAATGACCAGAACACCTGCCCAGAAGCCAGGCTCAGTCATCTGCCTGCAGGCAGTCTGTTTCATCATCTGTAAACCATGTGAATGGAACAAAAAAACAAAAATATATACATTAATTCATGCCTTTCAAGATGGTTTCTTCATCCTCACAGACCTCAGTATGTTTAATGTTGGAAAGAAAGAAAGAAAGAAAGAAAGAAAGAAAGAAAGAAAGAAAGAAAGTCCATTGTTATCTCTATCTTTGAAATCCCTTCATTAAATTGTCTGTCTCATTTGGGTTCCTCCTGTGGCACAAACTTTCAACTGTATTCTTCTGAACGATGAGAAACAGCACACTCTAACTGTGCGACACTGTTAAAGCCTACTAATATATTCCCTAGCCTACTAAATTCCCATCCCAGATAACATGCTTTAGCTTGATGGACCATTCTTATGTTAGACTCATTTAGATGATGATATTAAGATGAGGTGGATTATGCTTCTTAAGTGTTCCCAAATTGCTAAATCTTTGCGATAGGGCCTCATAAAGTCTTCCACTCAAAATGATTACTTTCACATAAGCTATAAAACAATGGGTTCAGAAATGTATGGGCAGCACATAAGATACTATGCTAGCTATGCTTTGAGCTCATTTCTACTCTGATGTTCTTGTTTATTCATGCCTGTTTTATTCTTCTTTTTGTTTTCTCCAGTCAGGTAAGGGCAAAAGGGAAATGTTGCTCATTATCCACTCTTTGGTAAGACTTGAAAGAGTGATTCTACAAATTCTCTCTTACAAAAGAGTTATATAAATAAATAAATACATTCAAGAGGGCACAGCCATATAATGACTTTAAATATTCTTTAATCTTATGACAAATAATATTTTCCATAAATGGACTGAAGTTACAAAATGCTTGTGGAAAATAATGTACAATGCATTTGTCTAATATTCTGGCAAGGTTCTCTTGAATCTATGAAAAAAAAAAAACACACCTTCTTCCAGTAATGTTAACATAACTTTTATTCAGAGTTATTTGGTATTTATGTTCTCAAAATATTTGCACAAAAACTTTATTATTTCTGATGTTTTAGCTGTCATTCATCTATCAGATTTTAAAAGTTATTGCTTGTTTTAGACTGTTCAGAAAACATTTAAAGTAATAAAAGTAACATTCCCACGTCCCATAATATTTATATATCTTTTTTTTTTTTTGCTGGGTAAGTACTAACTGAATGTTTTGTTGCAAATGTATATGGCAAATGTCCCAGTACACTACTTTAATTGGACAAGCAGTGTTCCATGAGTGCTGATTTTTGATTTAACAGCACCACCTCACCTGTCTGTGTTTGCTTCACTAAATTCCAATTCTTGATTCTGCTTGGCCTCTTTTTGTTTTTGATGCAAACTACCCATATCATATTTGAATTGCTGGTTACTAAATATTTACTTCATGATAATTCAGTCAGCAACACTGGTCATGTTATATTGGAAAATTAAAAATAAGTAATTTTAACTCTAAAGTCCCCTTTACTCTCTCTTTTGTCCTTTCTATTATATATTTATAGATAAAATGAGAGCAGATAATTTCAATTCAAACAAGTCTAATGTAAACCATCACATATTTCACTTCAATTTCCCACCCACCACTCTCAGCATAAAACATGTTTTTTAATTCAGTGCAGTGCTATCAGCTTTGTACTCATTGGAATCTCAGCACATTGACACTGAAGCGTGTTCAATACAAATTGTTTTCAACATTTGACATTATTGAAAAGCACACCATTTCCACAGCAATTGTTGTTTAAACCGGTCATTTGAAAGGCTTTGCGTGTATGTGTGTATGTCTATGTGTGGGCTTCAGATTAAAATAGGTTTAATCACGGAGCAGCTTCCAGCAATCTGCAGTCTGCCTACTCGCTTCTCTAGGAAATTCAGCCTGACATACATCAACTCTCCCCTCCTTTCTATCACACATCTTCAGTGTCACAAGTTCCAGCAACCTGTTAAAGGTGTCACTGTCTGAAGTGTGTGTACTGCACCTGTCCTCACCTCTGACTCATCTGGTACACCTCTCTTCATTTAGATTTTAAGTGTATGTGTCGCATAATGTCAAGCTCACGGCTAGCATGTTTTATATTATTTATAGCCTGAACTGTGATGTTTTACATGACCTTTAATAATTAACAGCACCAACTTTCATTCTTTGTGTGATGAGATAGCACTGATTTCTGCATCTCCTAAAACATTATTCCTACAGTGGCATATGGGATGAGACATTAAGAATAATCTGTAACTGCTGTGCTGTTTCAAGAAAAAAGCAGGACAGATGGTGTACGGATTTATAATAGTTTCTTTGTTCCTAAGTAAAATGTTGCATCCAGATAAGTTCAAAGTCTTCCCATGGGTAATCAGTGTTCCTTGGGAATTTCCTTCCTATTAGTCCAGGAAGCATCATTCAAATCAGACTTTCGAGTTTTTTGGTGAGAAATATTACAATACACATTAAAATAGAATAAAACCAAATAGAACATACACAGATACAGTACATATTATACAGATGTACAAAATATGTAAATATTTCAACTGAACTTCATAGACTCAACTTAAAAAAAGACAAATATACTTTTGGTCACTTCAACGGTCTTCCTCGATTCGAAAATCCCTTCAGTAAATGAGTCGTATTATATCCTCCTCAGTCTCAGGTCAGTGCTGTCTGTTTCCAGCTGCATGTGAACCTGTCTGAGCTCCCACAGAGCTGCTCACTGGACAATCAGGCCACTCCAGTGGCAAAAGTGATCAGCCCAGCCCAGCAGTTCCTCTGGCCGCTTCCTGTTATTGTCCCTGCCTCTTCAGTCCAGTTCCAAACCCCTCTCTGGAAAATCAGATAAGATTCGCAGCCCCCTGACCACCAGTAGGAGAGGCAAGCGGAGCATTACACCGCTGAATGAGAGAGAGACAGAGAGAGAGAGCGAAAGAGACGGGGAGCGATTGCGACTGGGAGAGAGAGACAGAGGGGGCCGGAGGTGGGAGATCATTAAGTTCCAGCTCGCTCCCTTAAAGAGGAGAGGAAAGCAAAAGTGATTTATTATTCAAAGCTATAGAATAAAGAGCACGATAAACAGGTTAATGGAGTTAAAGTAATCCCGAGAGATTTTCTTCAGAGTGGTATTAAATTTTACAGAGGCTGTGACTGTCATATCTGCCCGTGATCTTGTCTAAACTAGTAAGTGAGAAAGGGGCGGGTGGAGGGGTCTAGTCGTGCGTTCAGCGGAGGGTTGAGTTTAGGGACTGGGACTTGCGGCGGATCTATGTACTGTATCTGTCAAAAGTGCTTAGTGCTGTGCCCCATTGATCTAAGTGGAGAAAGTCAGTTTAGTAGGATTAGTTGCACGGAATGTCCAAGCCGTTTTGACAGGGGACCTAAGATAAATACCCCTGGGTGCTTAGACAGAGAGGCAATTGCTGAAGTGCAGCCCTGCTTGACATTTTATTTTGTTTGTTTGTCTGCTCCTTGGCTTTTGTGAGGATATTCTTATTTCTTTGAATATGTCTACTGGCCTTCACTTTGAAAGATGTGGCTGACAGACTCCCACGACAGGCCTCTGGTAAAAAAAATTAAATAAAAAATTGGTCTGACCTTTGATCCTATTTTAGTCCTTGCTCAGAACGCCCTGCAGAACTTTTGTTCAAATTTGGTTGACTTTAAATCTGCTTCCTCTCCTTGAAGAGTATTACTTGACCTTATTTTTTAAATGCAACAAACTAACACATGAAAAAAAAAAAAAATCTGATTGCGATAAGGGGAAGAAATGTTAACGTGTTTCATATTGTGGTCTTGAAACATAACTGTTTCAAAATTGCATGAAGTGGAAACCGACTGGTGTCCTTCAGCTAACTTGATTTAAGAACATTTTACACACCTCATTCTACCTGTCCAATTCAGATGGTACTTAGGAATGTAAGACGTATATAATTATACAGTATAAAAGGTTAGATAAATGTTTGGAGACTGAGGCAAGAATTTTATGCTTAGTGGATCAAGGTCAACTCTCTCCATATACCTTTCTTTCAAACTTGAAACTATTTTTTTACAGTATTTTTGTCACTGTAGACAGAGTGCTACTGTACAATACATATGGCTCATATGTCAGGTGAATTTCTCAATAAGAAATAAAACCTCAAGTTACTGTAAATGGAGCAATCATTTCATGAGTTTCATTATCCATTGAAAATAATAATACTGGTAATAATTAGCCCAGTGATGGATGCCAGGATGCACCAGCACCCCCTTAAACCCTACACAGGAAAAGCTGATGTGGAAAAATAACAGATAAGGATAACACACACACACACACACACACACACAGAGTGAGTGTGTTGTGACTTCAATGAACATTTTAAAACATACTGTACCTTCTATAATATACCTTACAAAAATATAATGATTAAAGTAAATTCTTCAGATGTTTCTAAATAATTATATAAAATAGTATTTTTATAATAATGTTATTTAATTTAATTATATAAGAATTTAATCATATTTTCACTGATTTAAAATGTCTGTTATTATTATTATTATTATTATTATATTTTACTATTAGTTTTTATTTATAATTATTTATTAGTGCTTATAGTATTCACTCTTTTTTAATATTTAATTTCTTAGAAGAAATATTTAAATATTTTAAAAAAAAAATGTGTTTGCTAAGGTAGAAGAAATATTTAAATATTTAAAAAAAAAATGTGTTTGCTAAGGCATACAATGTATGTTGACACATTCTTATGTTTTTAATTTCATTAGTAATGTGTTTTTATTTATTTGGTGGTAAAGCACACATGGACAACCTGGGTTGTAATTAATGGTGCTATACAAATAAAATTGCCATTGCCATTGCCATTAAATGACTTCCTGAGGCAATGGCAAATCTCTTGTATCTTTGGGCAGAAATATCATTTTGACTTAAATGGGCAAACTTACTCAAAAACTGCTTCTATGGATTCCTCATTCCAGAAGTTAGTATCGATGTACTTTATATTCCTCATCGTCATCCGAGACCTTTCCTTATGCCTCCTACAGGCACGACTGTGGTGTTTAACCCTGCCACTGTCCAGCAGACATTATCTGCACCATCACCCACCAGACCGCATGAGGCAGTGGATGCCTTGTGAAGTGTGTGCTTTAAAAATAGCAGGGTTCTTGTCTTCTCTCATTTGCCCTGGGTGAGCAGCCAAGCGCATGGAGGCCCTTGGAGAAAGCTGATGTACGGCATGTTTGAGGCGTTTGGACTGATCTTAACGAGACATTAATGTTCACTTAACGTGATCCTAAATCCACCCTGGGGCATAGTCTGGATGGAATAACGTGTTTGAATCGACCTCCTTCCACTTTAGTCTTACTGAAAATGGCCCCTTTAACCCTTTGATGCACAAGCTATGCAAACCCCTTCTAATGCACAACATGGGTCTAAAATGACCCGTATTCATTTCCTATGTTATTTCATGCATGGCTGGGCATTTAATTGTTTCATCTTTTGAAATCAGTTTATTTCAGCATTTAATATTCCCTGATCTATGAAATTTATATTCTAAATATATTGTTTTCAATGAACATCAGTTATTATTTTAATTTTTCTTAGGTCTTGTGTTATTATGTCAAATTTACACAAATGGGTAAAAAAGGACCCATCTATGCAAGCGTGATAAAACAAAAGAATAAAGACAACATTTTGTTAAAATAATAATTTTAGAAGTTATTTAGGTCAACACATTTAACACTTTGTCACACATAACATACACATATCACTGATAACCGATAACACTGAAATTGAACAGTACTGTATCTGTAGTGCAACTGTAGTGAACTGTAGTGTATGTGACCGAATAAAAGAATATAAAACTGACAAAATTAAATCACACAGATACAGCAACATCTCAAATTGCCATTTTAGTGCTTATAAGCCTCACAAATGACAACTTCATATTTGTGCTCCTTGCACACAGGCCTGTTGCTCTGGGAACACTAGCTGCTGATTTGTCCTCCCTTGGCCAGGTGGTGGCTGCATTTTGTTTTTTTTTATCCCACATCTTCCCATTGCTTCTGAAATATGGTTTTAAAGGTTGGGCCTCCAAGCACCTCTTCATATGTTGCACGACAACATCAGCTCTTTGACCAGCTTCTTGATGAATAGCTGTCATGCATTGGTCACACCAGCCATGTAATCAGGGTGTTGCTCAGTGAAGTTGATGTTGGCCAGGGGTGGTCAACGTCTGTCCTGGAGAGCCACAGTCCTGCAGAGTTTTGCTCCAACCTTGATAAAAACTCACCCTCCTGTAGCTTTCTAGTAACCCTTAGACCTTGATTAGCTTGTTCAGGGGTGTTTGATTAGGGTTGGAGATGAAATCTGCAGGACTGTGGCTCTCCAGGAATGATGTTGGCTGCCCCTGGTGTAGGCATTGAGGGTCCAAAACCATGGGCACATATAGAGGCAGTTGGAGGGCATGCCCCATGCCACAGGTGGACATCAAACAGGAGGGCCAATGGAAGAGGAAGAGGTGCAGGATCAGAAAAATCAGCAGCTGGTGAACCAGGTCCTGGGCAGCTCCTCAGGATATTGTGGCTTCTTGTTCTGTCCTGAGTAGGGGGATGCTCACTAAAGACCACTTTTTACTCAATCTATTGAACTGGGTCTGAATTTCCTCATCAGACAGGTCTTTACTGTCATCAAATGAGTCTTCTTTAAGATAGCTGAATTTACACCCACAACTCCAGATTGACCCTCTGGCACATAATCTAAGTCATCAGTAGGGTTGGGTATCGTTTGAATTTGATCAATTCCGATTCCGATTCCGATTCTGCTTATCGATTCCGATTCTTTTCGATTCCCAGTTTCGATTCCAATGTGCTTAAATAATGATATCAAACATTTATCCAGTGTTGGTGGTGACACCTCTCTTGCAACATGTTTAGCTAGCACAGATATTGTACTTAGCTTTTTTGGCTTCTGATCGCAAATGTAGCCAAACTTTGGAGCGCTTAGATTAGCGAGCAAGGTCCTGGCAGATCGCTAGGTCCGGTCCTCACAGATGAAGAAAAAAAAGCGCATAGGAATCCATAGGTGGAATCAAAATTTTAATTTGACAAGTATCCGATTCCTGACCTTAAGTATCCGATTCTGGAATCGGAATCGATTTTCGATTCCCAACCCTAGTCATCAGCATCAGATATTTCAGACTCTGAATCAAGGCTAAAAATTGCCTCATCTTACTCATTCTGTTCTTCATGCAGCATCTCAAACATTTCAGCCATTAATCTTGAATGACTAGGACCAGCCACTAACACTCTAGTTAAAAAAAAATAAAAGGACAAGAATATTTTAAATGCACATCAAAGAGTTGATCATGTATGTACTTATTATATTTCGTCACTGTCAGACAGAAACCTTGTAGAACTGTTACTTTTCAGGAACACTGACAGACATAATAGGTGACCAAGAGTATTGATTCATGACAAAAAATAAAAATTATGAAATATGTAGATAGAAGGTTTCCATCTGACAGTGACGATATCTATCTGTATATAACCTTCTATTTCAACTATTATTTTGTTGACCTAGCTAAAATTAGCTTGCAATATGTCAACAACAAGCTAGATAATAGTATTGGACATGTCTCTCTTTCTCACTAGTAATAGATTTCAAAGTCAAGGTAACCTTAGCATAACATTCAAATATTATGTCCAGTTATCTTTCAAAATATATATTAAACATTTTCTGTGATAAAACAATTATAAAATAAGACTTGCATCAAATATACAAAAGCAGCTTGTTGATTTGTGGCAAAAAAATATGTTTGCTGCAGTAACTATGTTCCTACTTGCAAAAAATAGCAAATATCAAAGGTTTCTATATGGGTAAT